TTAATGGAACTGTTTTGGGTAGTCGAATTTGTATGGATGTATTAGCTCGAGTGTTTATGTATTAACTTAAGTATTAAAGCTTAATGCGGTACGGTTGGCAATGAATTTCAAAGACAAAGTGCTGGCTGACATGTGTTAACATGGACAGAAATCGCGGTGTCATAATTTTACGTAACTTTTCAAGACGCGTCATTCTAGCACCATTAGTTTAATGCAACATATTTCAAGTCTTTTGTACAATTTTAATCAGAATAAATGCATATTTGGATGCATATTTTATAACAAATTAAATGTTCTTTGCCGCACTATTTTGGGCAAAATAAATACTAGTCCTTGAACTTCCGGATTCTACCTACGACTTGCACATACTCCGGCACATTCGAAGGATATTCCGTACATCATAAGAACTCCGCCTTATTGTGGGTAGTAATGAGACAATTTACAAAAGAGCGCCAAGGAAACAGATCTTAATTGTAGCGCCGAATCACGTGGTCGAGAGTTGCGAGAGAGACAGGCTCGAACAGACAGGGAGACTCGCACAGACAGACCACCTATAAAAACTAGATTTTACAAGCAAAGTTTCTGAACATTTTTTATGAGTCGTGGGTTATTTGGTATCTAATGTCATATTTGTAACACTGATAACATTTAATTTCTATTAATTTCACAAAAATTAGTAACTTAAGAAGAATGCATTAACCATAAGCAATATGTTCCGATCACGCCACATGAAGTTAACTGTGAATCAATGTTAGAGAAAAATGATACGTAATTTTATGTTGTCAGTATAAATCATACACGTAATTTTAGACTGCATTGATTTTTTAAATTGATGCTAATGATTTACATTTTAATAATTATATATGACCCCTCTAATTTGTAAACATTTTTATCAACTAATATTTCTTCTGGAGTTATACGAACCCTCCTTAATTTTTCTAGGACCTTAGCATTCGCAGAGATTTCTATATTTTCTAGGTGCGAAACGGCCAATCTATGGTACCACATTACTCATTTCTAGCAGTCAGTTCATTACCCGACAAGACCCTCGCGAGGCTCCCACCTTCTGTCCCGATTCGCCTCGTCTACTAGGACTTCAGCAACTGTGGTGGAATTTTACAGATTTATTTACAGTAAAAACTGTGTGACGTATGGGGGGGGGGAGAAGATTACCTGCGCACTTTTTCTGAGTTCTAGAATTCCTTCCCATTATTTTAACTATAAATAGTTGAAAAATAAATAAAAGATAAAACATCAATAAAAACAAAATTTAAAATGACGAAAGATTAGCAACATTTGAAAAAACTAGACATTTTCGTTTCCGAGTTACAAAAAACTTATTTGCGACGGTAAACAAACTGCAGATTTGATTTTCCGGCATTGCTAACCAGATACTTTTCTGAATCCGGCAAGCTGTTCTCTTGGGATGGCGAACCCCAAGTCGTTAGGTTTGCTGTTTTATTGAAATAATTGGGTATTCCCTGGTGGTAAATTGCTCAGCTGCTGACAATTATACTGGTACAATCACCTCGGCGTATTTGGTCCTGGTTAGCACCAAAAAGTGCTTAATTCAAGACATGTTCGTCATAATGAAAAGTAATGGCATAATAATTGAGAAGAATAATTTAACAATTTCAGAAAAGCAAAGTTCTAACCACCACAATTGAAAGCATCATTCATGAGACTGCCAAATAATGAACTTTCTGATCAATGAAAACACTGCAACATTTAATAATGAGGTAAAAAATCCTTATAAGAATGGGAGAAATGGTTTGGCAAGATCCTTTAGGGGGCATAATATACCAAAAACGAAAAGAAAAATAAGCTGACATTACAGAGGACATCAGAAATATTGATCTCTCTTTTCACTATTAGATATGAGTAGTTCTTGAAAATCAGTTTATACAAAATATTATTTCAACACTAAACCATTTCAGTTTAGTTATCTTTATTTGTATATCCATTTAATTAAAAACAATTGAAAAATACTTCCAGAAAACCATGAAAATAAATATATTGGGACTTTCAGTCTAAATTACTTCAGTGATATAAAAAAAAGTGTAATTAGCACACACAACTGTTGCCATTACTGCATTAAAATTAACCAAATCCTTTACAGTTATTATAATCATTACTGATTAGTGTTGGTACTATCATTAATGCCAATCTTCTTTTCCCAAACCACAGTTTGCAAACTGATGCAAGATTTCTGAATTTGATTATCATCTTTATCAGACTTCCTTTACATACAATTTATTCAAGACTTAGTTTACTTCTCTTACTTTCTGTTTTCACTCTTCGACATCATTTTCTGAACAAGAAATATTGCAACCAAGAACAACATACTCCACATTTCTAAAACATTTTTAATGGTTCCTATTCTTGTCTTCTGGCATACTATTTGAATAAGAAAACACCAGCAAATTCATATGATTTTTAATTTGCTAGACAAAGTAATATTTCAATTAATACTGTTGTCGAAAACGATCATTTTACTAAAATTTACGATGCATTGCTACCACTGCTACACAGATGCTGAACATGGAAAAATAGTTCCCTCATTCCTCCTCCACTTTCATCCATACCTGTCCTCTTCACCCACCCTTTCTTTACCTTATTTCGTCCCCGTCCCTTGTATCTTATCATTCTTTCCACTGCTCTCAACAACACAACTGACAGACGAGTTCAGATTATTAGTCTAAAGCATGTCTTTCCTACGTTCCATGATATAATTGCAGAGCAACGCTGTAAAGTCTGATGTCTGTGAAAGGTCCTGGTGCTACCATGGCCATGGAATGGCTCCGACTTGAACCCCCATAGAAAATTTATGCGGTATTACAAAGAGAAGAATAAGGAAATATACAAGAAGCCGGACAAACTGGAGGAGATTTGGTATGATGACGATGAAATTAAAAGCTCAGGCGAAAAGCCGGTAAACATTATGCCAAACATGATAAAGTTGTTGATTAAGAACAAAGGCATGCACAATAACAGTAAGTATTAAATGTACGACTGTAACAAGTACACGAATGTAAATATGTAATAAAGGCAAATCTTTTACAAAAAATGCCTTCAGTCTAAAAATTTGAACACATCTGTACTCAACTCCATCCATCTCATGACATTGGTGTTTTTCATTATGTTATCATACCAACATTCTGTTATTTGTTTTTGTGAGTTCTTGTATGCTGGGTAAGTTCTGACTTTTAACAATTTCTCCATTTCCTTACTGTGTAGTAAATTATTTTTACCCTTTATTACATATTTTTATCATTCAATTTTTACAGCCTGATGATGGGGAAAACAATCCCCAAGATTGTAGTGGAAGAAGTCTCAAGAAAGAAATTATTATTCCAAGATTTGCCTGTCTATAAATGAGTATCTATGAGCCCTAATTCATAATATATAATATGATTTTTTTCTATTAATAAACAATATTAAAAGTTCCCACTATAAGAAAGTCAGAAAATTGCCTCTGCCTGCCAATTCAGTAATAATACTGTTGATACCTTTTGTAGGATTAATGGTCACAATAAAAAACACTAATGTAAATAAGGAAAGTTTAAGGATCAATAACCACTACATGAAGTTTCAAAAACTGAAATAAAGTCATATTGAAAGGATTCTTTCTAAATATTAGTTTACATTGCTTAATAACCTCAATCTATTTCATAATAATTGAAAGAATTTGATTCATTCATTCATTTTCACTTATACCAGGTAAAATTCCAAAACTATTTGATTATTTTAACTTTTAATTCAAAAACTCATCTTTTTAACTTTTAATAAATGACACAAACTCAAAAAATAGTGAACTTACAGGAACTCAATTGGGTAAAAAACTTTGAAATTGGAACAAACTACCCACAGTATATGAGACAAAATCCACTGCAAAAACAGACGTCTCACTCTTTATGATACCAAATGTTTGGAATAATTTGTAAAGAATTTAATACAATAGGGTGACAATTTGCAATTTAAGAAAATATTCACAACTACAACTATTTCCAAAAAGAAAACTACATTCCCATAAAAATTCTCTACTACACTCGTGGAAAAGGAAAATATCACACTCTTTACAATGTTTGACTCTTATCTGCAATTCAGTTGTATATTTTTTTCAACAGAGTGAAATTAATATTATTTGTCTTTTATGTTGAGGAACCTTAATAGAATATTGATCCATAAGGAACTTTATTCTTAAAGCACAAGTTAAATGGATTGTCATATATAGCACATTTTTTATCCTTTCTAAACCCAACAATGTCATTTTTCAGGCGCTAATTTGTTTCAAAATTATACTTCATAAGAGCTTCATACTAACAATCTTTTTTCAACTCTAATACAGATACGAATCATTTGAGTTTTAAATACATTTTCTGTGTTACTCAAAAGCACTGCTTCTCAAATTCTTCCAAAATTATCTCTTTGATGATTCTTCACATGGACTAGAGAAACTGATGATTTTTCCAGTTGATCACTTCATCCCCCCCCCCCTCCCAAATTTCACAGTGTCTCCTATATGTGGGAAGGAATCCCCTTTTCTCGACACAAACAAGATCTAGGAGTAATTGTACAATCATCTACCCTGTACTAACCTAACTTCAAAGTGACGTGAGGGATCTATAAAAGCATTCCATTCATTGCATTAATGCCTTTTAAGGATCAAAATTTGTATGTTTACAAAAGATGTTCATTTACTACACAATAGTGATTATAACTCTGAAATTTCATCCCCTCCCAAATACTGCCATTGGGAGTTTTGTTTATACTTTCAGTTCTGTACATTCAATCAAGAACTCAACAGCAATTTGAAGTTCATTTCGAAAGCAAAATCAAAACAGCTTCTGCTATTGCAACATCATTTTTTCCAGCATTGGCATAATGTGTAGATTATCTTCCATAAAAGATTTCCAAGTGAGATTTCAGAAATTATGACAGAGCATACTGTACACCTGGTGAAATGTATTTTAATTTAATGCTTAGTGATAAGTACTTACGTTTCTTTTGCTTCTCCATTAGCATCAACTGGTCGTGTTTATGCCAGGCATCTGGTCGTTTTCCAGACGCCTGTACCACCACAGAAGTATCCATGACTCCTCCTCCTCCACCACCCACACGGGCAGCTCCTCCTCCACCTCCTCCCGGCGTCGCTGGCGTGTTCTGTGCATCCGCCGCAGCATTCAACAATACCATCAAACCATGGGGGGTACTGCCGGACACTTGTGCCGGGTGGGACTCCAGGACGGCGGATGGCCACGTCCAGGCAACCGGCAAGAACTCAAAAAAATTGCACTGCAGTACCCGACCACCCCCAAACAGACACCCTTCCTTTTTCTTAAACTTGACAGACACCACAAGACACCACCAAACACAAGTATTGCTGATCTGAATTCCTCTGAATGAGATGTGATTTTTCACCACTGCATCAGCACATCACAGGACTCTTGACATCACAGGGCGCTGCACTTTTTCTGAATGTTGATGTTGATTCAATAATAGCACACTGTTGAGATGCCTTGTCAGATTTGAACATGCATGTTTATTTACTTTTTTCCTGATTCTGTGGTATGTTTCTAAAAAAATATGCCTTTCAAAAATTGCTTGATAATTTAGGTATTATATAGATTTATTTCATTTAAATTTCTGTAGGTTAGGCTTAGTAAATTTTCCCTAATTAGAATTATTTTTTAAATATATGTTGAAAAATATATAATATATAGATTCTATTATATGCAACAGCTTTTTTCAAATATCATCACTGTAAATAAACAAAGCATCTGTATATGCGGGTGGGTGGGTATTTTCCTTAGAATGGGTCTAACAACGGCCCCTGTCAAAACCGAAGGAGCAGCAGGAGCGGTGGTGGCGGTGGCGGGAGCGGCATGTCAGCGCCGAGGCCGGTCAACACCAGCACGGGGGGCGGGCGGCGCGGGGCAGGGGCGGCGGGCTGGCGGCGGAGGCACCCGCCCCCATGGCAGCAAGACGGCAGTCTACCCCGCGTCACGGCGGTGGTGGCGGTGGCGGCGGCGGCTGGGTCGGGCTCCGTTTGTATCGACTGCTGCTCCGCCGCTGCTGCTGCTGCTGCTGCCGCCGCTGCTGCGGCAGCTGTCTCCGACGGGCTAGCACGCGGCGGCCAGGGCCTCCTGAGGTTCGAAAAATAAACAAACGCCGAACCGATCGCGTTGGCCGCTACCGATCATCCGCCGCCTCACCAGCGACCTCTTTATTATTACCACTATTACTTCACTTGTTTCGTGGCCGGCTGCGAAAAAACACACGCGGCGAGGCGTTGGGTTCCGAAGACAACACGGAGAATGGAGATATCACACCGTCTGTTATATTATCTGTGTATATGGATATTTCTTAATATTTTTTTCTAAAAAAACTAGGCGCACGGGCGCGCCTGAACGCGCGTGCACACACTCACAAACACACGTTAAAAAACAACACACTCCCACTCGTCGGGCACGTACGGGTTAGGGTCAAAGGAACCAGACAATAACAACGCGGGCCGCGGCTGGCAGGGGTCGCTCGGGGCGAGGGCTTCTCAGACGCACTGGCTGCTCCCGCAGGCGGACGAAACACATTCCCGCGGCGACGACAACGGACGAGGAGACGGCGGCGTCGAGAGACGAGTAACTGTACAGGCGACGTCGAGCGGCGTGGTTAGCTCGTCGCCCGCTCCTGTTCCTGCTCCTCGCACACACTCCGCGCGGTGGGCAAATTCACGCGTTCGCGGCGAAGCAGAGCTCCGGGGCGCTCCATGGCGCGACGCGGCGGCGCTGCGACGCTCCGAGACAAGTTCGCGACGCTCGCATGTCCGGCGAACCGCTTGCGCGCGGTTTAAAAACCGTTGAAACTGCGGATCGGCGCGGTTACGACGCGAGCACGCCCAGGAACTCTGCACTCTTTTCCAACATGGCAGTCGCCGTGAGGAGCCGAGGCTCGCGAGCTGTGGCGTGGTCGGCGGCGCTCCCGGCATGCAACGCGGCGACTGTCGCCGCCGCCGCCTGTAGCGCTGCTGTCGCTTCGAAGGAACGTCTACTGGCCCGGCCGCGTGCTGGACTAGCTGGATGTAACGAGTTAAAACAGCGATTGCGAAATTATTGGCGATAAATATGTCGTATTTTTGCCGTTGTCAGATATTGCTGTAGGGGTTACGCTTTCGATATTCATGACGACTATTAGCAATATACTTTTTGCCCTTTTTATTTCTCGTTTTATTGTTTTCACAGAGTAACCGCGCCCCTTCTACCTGCTCTGTATTTTAAAAACGTGCATTGACCAAAAGAGGCGTGGCAACTCTAGAAATTGTGTTGCTGGATATATTACTGTCGCGCTTTGGGAGCGATGGCCTTAACGGTCAGTGTCGCCAGTTGTGATTGGTTGGCGAGAAACTATGACATCATATCTGGATTGTTTGATCGAATGACCTCCACGCTCTCTGACGGCGAAGTTACGACTCGGGGTTGTTGTTCTGCGCTTTAGCCACTGCGAGCGCTAGGCATCTGTACTGCCAGAAATTTTGGGAAATGGAAGGGGCGCTTCGTTCAAACAAGGATTTGTCTCTAGCAAAATTCATTTTTCGACTCGCTCTCCTGAAAATATTTCATACGTAATTTTATTTTTACATTTATCTAACTTGTTTACATAATTGATATTTCCGTTCAAATTAGTGATTATCTCATTACTTCAATCGGCATGTAAAGAATGAAAATGCGGTTCGAAAAATTAAAAAATGCAATTTGCTAGAAAATAATGGCCTCAAACTGCACAAATTTTAAGTTTGCGTTCTTGTGTTGTACAATAATTTTAATTATTTCAGTAAGAGGAACCATAACATCCGGTTTTACCCAGGGCACCGCGTTACGTACAAAACAGTGAGCACATAGAAAAAATATAGGAGTCAAATTGTGACTCTGCAGCATCGAAAATGTTACTTAACAAAGCCTCCAACATGGCTTTCAAGACAGTAGCATTCATTTCGCTCAGAAACAACCAATAAAACTAGAATAAATTAAATATCTTAGCAAAATAGTATTCCAGAGACTGCAATAAAATAATTATACAGTTTACACGGATACACAGTGCAACAGTTCTTTGTGATAAAAATAGTAAAAAAAATTATTTAAACTGCAAATGGGCATAACTCAGTGGCAGTCAGTGACGCACTGAGTATGATAATTCAGTCGGTATGCGCAGTATCCGTTACATTTCTACACAGTCCTAAAAAAATGAATTTTGCAGCTTCTTATAAACAATATCACAGAGCTATTCGCTATTTAAAGAGAGTTCACATGGGACTAATTTTTTTTCAATTATTTATAGTCGCATCGACAACTGCTTATTTCTTTGTTAAACAAATATTGCTATTTTTGTCTTCTGCATCTCTCACAAAGTGTTAGTGCAACAAAATCTGGAATACAAAGGCGAAAACCCTGTTTTAATACCGACTAAACTCATGTTTTATTTAATATTTTATTTAAATACACTGAAATACTTCACAAATTATGTCATGACCCAATAAGAAAATGACCTGGGTAACCTGGAAAATTCAGGGAAATTCGCCATGGAAAACGAGCGGTCATCTCTTATTTTGTTCACTTGTTAATTTGCTCAAAGAATTGTCACTACTACCGGTACAACGGTGATAATTACACATTCGACGTTGAATGTAGTAATCTAGGATACAATGAACTTTCGAGTTTAGTGAACTGAAGTAACTAGTCCCGATACACATATATAAAAAATATGCACCAGAAGATTCGGTTATAGTGAACTCTCAATATCGAATATAGTGAAGTTATTAAATAAAATTTCCGGAAAAATAAGTTTCCCTTCATCTGGTTTGGAGGTAAAGAGTCTAGAGAGTTATTTTTGTAACATTTACGTTCAATAAAAGGGATCTCGCCTTCGTGCCCTTCCAATGAATTATCCCCAATCTCGTTACGTGCAGCACGTACCACCAACTAATTCTCGTGCCCCGCTGGTGGGAGATACCGGCTTGGGGAAAACCCCACTATCCAACGGTAGGTCGGCCCCGGATCTCGCCATCCAGAGAGGGAAGAAGATCACCGCCACCTCCCACGATACAAAGCATGCACTATACTTAAAGGACTAATGACCAAAACAGATGGCGCCCCGTAATCACTAATCAATCAATGTTTTATATTTTTCTTTGAACTGCACTTGAATTAGGCCACCGCAGTGACACAGTGTCAAGGAATCAGGCAACTTTGTTTGTTAGGTTTTGAAGGGTAACTTAGATGAATGATTCAATTTTCCGAAATTATTTCTGTTGGAGTAGATGAAATGAGATGCTGATAGTTTAGCCCACACATGTCGCAATGTTTTCTCAAGTAGCAATAGATGTGTGAAGATTATTTTACAAACACAGGTGTTTTACCAACCACTAGTGAACCCGGCAATGCTTCGCTATTGCAATGAATTCCACTTCGTATGCTACTTGTCACGTGATTGTTAACGTTTTACGCTACGCTCTGTAAAATTTCAAAGGTGAAAAGCTTTCTCGCGAGTGTGGTTCCGTCTCTGATCGTGTCTTTCCATATCCCTCCCCGTCTCTCTCTCTCTCTCTCTCTCTCTCTCTCTCTCTCTCTCTCTCTCTCCATTTCTCTCTCTATTTCTATCCCTCTCTCCCTCTCTCCCTCTCTCCCTCTCTCCCTCTCTCCCTCTCTCTCTCTGTCTCTCTTTCTCTGAGTCCCTGTCTCTGTTTCCTTCTCGGCTTCTCTGTCTTCCTATGTCTCTTTCTGTGTCTGTCTCTCCCGGGAGATATTTCACAATCGCAGGGGCGGAATACGCAATGAAGTGTAGTAATTACTTAATAATTGTACTTCAGTGTGCAACGGGTTGCGTAAAGCGACGTTACGTAGAGCGCCCTGTTCAGGGAGCTTGAGTTGGCAAAAAATCACCAACGCGCGTCTATGTGCTCAGATATACGCACACTTCCTAACCTATATTCTTCCCGGAAGTGCGAGCAATAAGTTGACAAAGTTGTATCGCAATTGAATGAACGGTACTGCAGCATATTAAACACGATCAAACAAAGAAACAATTTAATATTATTTTTTATATATTAGGTACATCACATCAAACCTATGACAAAACTGCTAGGTTCTCGGCGATCAGTTTTAATATTTTGATTCCATTACATGTTGCCAATACGTAATGATTTGGGAACGAATGTATTGTGCAATCCAAAGAAGTGTGACAACCATACGCTTGAATAAGACGGGCGTTCACGACGGAATTATTCTTCAGCGAACTTGGATCGATTCTGAACGGACTATAAGAAACACTACTACCAGAGGCGAGTTCAGCTAAATGCGACGGCGATTTCAACGGACTATTTGTCGACTTCTTGTTCTCTGCGTCGCCTTCTTTAACCTCTCGTCCTTTAGTATTAGTAGTTAAAACAAGGGCTTTGCATTGATTAATTGGTGTTGCTAGTCGCGTCAACTGCTAAGGTCGTTAGTCCCGTAAGTGTAGTGCAAAGTTTATGGCGAGAGGTGGCGGTCTTTCCCTGCTGGATGGCAGGATCCGGCCCCGACATACCGCCGGCTAGCGGAGTTTTCCCCAACCAGGTATCTCCCACCATCGGGGCACCGTCCTAGCCGGGACAAGCTCTGAGTCCCCAACCGGCCTGCAGGTATCTGTGGAGTGCAGTGCATGTTAGTGTGCGTGAGAGGGGTAGGGATAGGATAAGGAAGATGTAGGAAAGATTTTTAGATAACTGCTCTGGTATTACCCTGGTGTTGATCGGAGAAACCACGAAAAACTGCTGATCAGAGCACGTGGACGCTAGAATTCTCCTCCAGACAACGACTGAATCCCACTTAGTTAACAAGCTAGTGTCGAAAAGCCAGCCATCCTTCGGGACTCAAACCCTAGGATCTCCCAGTCAGAGACACTGCAGTGACATCAACTGATGCTCTGAGCCACCGAAGCCGGTATTAGAGCTCGGGAGAGACAATAATTTTCACCAGTCATATTCGCGCCTCGCTTTGCGGGTGTTGATGGCCACATGTGTTGAAACACAAAGTTTTGAATAGTGTTTTTTAATACCAATGTGGTATTAAAGTTTTTTTGTATCAAGGGTAGCTATTAAGTGTATACAAGGTATCGTTGAAACACTAATGCATAGTATTTTACTAAATGATAAGTATATTTCGTGTACTTCAAATTATTGTACTAACGAGGTATAGGTACTCATTATTGCTTTTGTTCTGGTGATATGTTAAGATTTCTTAACTCTGAGATTTTAACAAGAGGTTAAACAAGTTAAGGAAATACAGTATTACACTTCACATGATAATGTATACTGATTTAACTATTAATGGAATAATTACATATTTAAACATCAAAATATCGCCTCACTGATATCACGACTACAATAAGTATGTGAATTATCAAAAAATGAAAATTGAAGTTTATAAACGATAACATTTAATATCTCTCGTAATCTCCAATAACAATTCAACATTCCGTTAATACGAATTAAGGAACATTGACAACATTGCCTTTAACACGTGCGATTGCACAAGTAGCGCTTGAAAAAGGTCGAAAGCGGCGGTTGAGAAAGCTCGTTCTGTAAACCATTCGTTAAAATGTTCTTGCTATTCTGTGTTAGTTTGGTTGGCTAGTAGGAACTTCTTTTCGCCCAACCACGCGATAAAACTACGTTATACAGAAACTAGTGGTGCTCAACAGCGCATACTTTTTCGCATAATTTCTGTCTTTTACAATTTTCGAAAATTCACAGCAATTTTGGAGTTTATATTATAATTTTAAAAATTGAAAGAAAATATCTCCGGCGGTGTTTTTAGAAAATATTATTTTGCAATACCTTCAATCACGAATAGCGCAAAAAAAACTATTTTAAAAAATTGTACCCTACCTGAGAGCATGTTTCATTATTCACTACTTAGATCATTGGTTCAATCTATGTGATATAATAGTGAACATTAAACGAACGAATTGTAATAGTGAACATTTAAATCTTTTTTTATAAACGAATAATTTATGATTTTTTTCGGCTAGTCTTCAAACACAATGAGGGCTTACTTGATGCTGTTGGCTGTCTTGGTTATTGAACTAGAGCGTACCAACCCAATCTTACAAGTACCTAAAAATAATTTGAAAATTAATATAACCTCAGATTTTTCTGATAAACTATATCTATAATTGTAATGAATATTTTAACGTTTGTTATAAAGTTTATTTTATTGTAATGGACTTTGACCTTAATAAACAAACTGTAATTTGTATAGCAATTTATTTTTTGTTATACAATGACGTTTCGATCCTATTTGGGGTCTTTTTGAAAAAAATCCGGTGTCCAGGTTTGTTGAGATCATATCATAAATAAACAGTAAGCATTTTGATAAAAAAAATTGTGATTTGCATAAAAAATTGATCAAGTCGGTAGCTTCATCCGGTCAACTGGTATGGTACAGGTATACACCAATATTCTGGTGTATACCAGTAACTGTACGGTACTGGTAGTACGGTACATGTATTACCATACAATATTTTTTGAAAAAGACCCCAAGTAGGGTCGAAACGTCATTGTATAACAACAAATAAATTGTTATAAAAATTACAGTTTGTTTATTAAGATCAAAAACCATTACAATAAGATATACTTTTACTTTTTATATCTATAAATATGATACTATATTTATTGTTAGATTATATTTATAAATTATTAAAATATTGTAGTTGCAGGGAAGCGCTCCCCTACCGCTTGTTCACTATTTCCGAAAATACAACAAGGGGAGCGCTGTTCGTGCGTCAGTTGTCTTTCCAATGGCGTCATCTAAATTCGACTCCGATTCCCAGAATCCGCCTCCATTCGCTCGGCCTCCCCCCCCCCCCCGGGGGAAACCCTCGGGCGAGCGGGGCCGGGCAGCCACGTCGGGAAGTCAACGGGAGTTCCTTGGCGGCGCCCCTCCCCCCCGTCATCAAGCCAGGAAGCCTTCGCCATTCATAGTTTCTTCATTTTTGACGACAAGAACAACAGTATTAATTATATGATACTTCTGTAAGTGTTTTAAATTATATATAATTTAAAACACTTACAGTAGCATTGTAAAATTAATACATAATATTATAAATAATAATACTCGTATACAACTAATATATAGACGAATGATGGCATGGTTCCAAAATTCCAGTAAGGGACAGTAAAAATCTGGTTCTAGTTGCATTGTGAGGTTTTACTGAAAATTGCAAAAAAAAAAATTAAAACTGCAAAATTGTAGATAGATATTTTTGCCTCAAAGTCGGTTGGATCAAATAAGGTCTTTAATGTCATGTAAAATTTTTTCAAAAAACTAGTTTAAAGTAATATTTTTTTGGGTAATTTGCACTTCGAGTTTTTTACTCAAAAACCGGTCCAATTTTTTTCTTTTCATTTTTTACACGTATGTAATAATGGACGGTACAAAATATGGTGCTAGACTTACTTTCAGCTATAGCTCCATTTTTTCGAAAATGCAAAAAGAACGTGAACATTTCAAAACTTCAAAAATGGAAAGGCGATTTTTGCTTTCAATAATGTCTGTTGTAAAAAATTCAGCTCTCTAAGAAAAGGTCATGTACAATTTTTTTGAAAAAATTAACTAATTTCGCTTAATTAGTGTGTGAAAGTTATGTTTCTATACACTAATTATATAAAAATAAATAAATAAACAAACAAACAAACATACATACATACATACATACATACATACAAACTAGTGGCGAAACAGAATGGCGCAGACTTTCTCGCAGTAGTTCGTTTTTTTTAATTTCTTTAGTCTGAACTAGGCCCAAGACATTTTTTCACATTTTCTCTATTTTTCGCCTTCCTAATGCTAGAACTGAAACCGTACACTTGTTACTGTTACATAAGTGTAACCCCCCCCTATGCTATACCGGGCGGCCGAGGTGACTAATTGGCAGGTAGGGGCTCGGCTCTTCGGAGGGAAGGTTCGCTGGTTCGAGCTTTGGTCGGAGAACTTTGTCACAATTCTCTGTTCCCGCAGAATATAATTGAGAATTCCAAAAACTTTATCGAAAGCCATTTGAAGCAATTCTAATCACAAATAAAATTAATTAAGACAAATAAACTGGAAGTGTCTGTATGTGATTTTTATATTTTCAACTTTTAAACAATTTCTCACATCTGTTGTTCGATTTGTAAAACGTATGTACCATCATATCAATTGTTCGTCTTTCGGTGCATCTTTATGAACTTTCTTTATGAATGATTTAAGTAAAGTAATTAACATATCAACATTAAATTTAAATACAATAACCAGTACCCAGTACCAACTTCGATATCGCTAATGGTTCCGATATTATTCTTACTAATTCGCCTTACGAATTCCTCGCAAGAAGAGGAAATTATGTAATGGTGCGTCAAAAACGCCAAAATTTCGCCATAAAAATATTGCCGGGTTCTGGAAACGAAAAAGTGGATAAATTCCGTTGTTAAATTTAGAAAAAATCCTCTAGCACCTGGTGTAGCCAGAATTCATGTTTTGTTGTTTCTTGATACCGAAAAATCGATTGACAGTAAAGAATCCGTCTGTCCATTTGTCTCACTGACCGTCTGTGATCAACGCTAGCGCCTAAGACGTTCAGCTGATTTTCTTCAAAATTGATGTTCTCTGATTGATCTGACCGGGCTGGAGGCTTTGGGAGTTTCTAACGGATATTTTGATTGCTGAAGGTTTTTTTTACATGAATCGGGCATTTACCTTTTTATGCCTTTGTCCGAATCATATCAATGCGGAGCTTCTGTGACGTAGTGGTGTGAGTGTCAGCACGTTAACTCTGAGGAGTTAAGTTCGAGTCTCAGGAAGAATTGTTTGCTACCTGAAAAGACGTTTGCTGGTTTATGTAGTAGTACAATGTGGCGGAGCATATAGAAACAATGCGAGAAAGTATGTGCTGTGGCAGAATCACTACTTTTAAAATAGATTTCATGTAAGAAAAATGTCTTTTATCATCGCTCTTTTGCAATGGTAATTTGTGCACGTTTTGAAGAAACACACTTCGTCAAAATGGAACCTAAGCCATTTTAAACGTCCTTTTCCCTTACCAAGGATTGAAATTAGATTAAAAAAATGAACTGTTGTGAGGAAATAATTGTTTAAAAACTGCCTTATTTAAATTAGACGAAAAGTATTCATGTTCTTGAAAATTGTACTTCCTCTTATTTAAAAATTGGTCTTTAAAATACATATTTTTGACAAAATGAAAAAAATTCCAACTTCAATATTGTAGTTGTAGGAAGACACCAAAAAAGGAAAATATTGTTAGGTGTGTGTGTGTGAGTGTGTAAGGCGAGAGGGTGAGACAACGATGAGAAAATAAAGATTGCTCTTGTTAGAAAACTGCTGCTCCGACATTCGCCTGGTATTGAGCGGAGGCAACTGTAGATGAGAGCAGCCGGCCTTCACAATTGTCCTCCAGACATCGCTTGAATGCGACTTAGCTAGCGATGAAGAATCCTCCATCGTTAGGACTCGAGACTTAGAACCTTCGAGAGTGATTACTGTAGGAACAGACGTTGGCCGTAGCTAGATCAACCGGTAGGACGGACATGCAAAAATTACTCGAACAAGAACTAGGATTAAAGTGAGTATAGAGTCCATAGTGGATAAAAACCGTATGGGAATGGTGGAGGAAGACATAGCGGCAAGTACAGGGGAGGAGGAGGAACGGGTGGCGGAGGAATGGAGAGAGACGGGACGGACGGGGAAGGAAGGGGGTGGCGGAGGTTGTGGAGGGGACACGAGTCTAGGAGACGAATGTAGGCAGAGGGGTAGATAGAGACGGAGGGGCGGAGAGGGCCGCAGAGAGCCGAGGAGCATGAGGGCCGGGCGGGGCCGGGCGGGGCCGGGCGGGGCCGGGGCGGGCGGGCGGGGCGGGCGGGGCCGGGCGGGGCGGGCGGGGCGGGCGGGGCGGCGGGGGCCGGGCGGGGCCGGGCGGGCGGGCGGGGGCCGGGGCGGGGCGCGGGCGGGCCGGGCGGGGGCGGGCGAGGCGGGCGGGGGCCGGGCGGGGCCGGGCGGGGCCGGGCGGGGCCCGGGCAGGGCCGGGGGGCCGGGCGGGGCCGGGCGGGGCCGGGCGGGGCCGGGCGAGGCGCCGGGCGGGCCGGCGGGGGCCGGGCGGGGCGGGCGGCGGGCCGGGCGGGGCCGGGCGGGGCCGGGCGGGGCGTGGAGGGGCCCGGGAGGGGCGCCGGGCGGGGCCGGGCGGTTTTTCCGGCGGGGCCGGGCGGGGCGGGCGGGGCGGGAGGGGCCGGGAGGGGCGGGCGGGGCCGGGCGTTTCCAGGCGGGGCCGGGCGGGGCCGGGCGGGGCCCCTGACTCCGCAGCCATTCTGGTCGGGAGGTTCTACGGTCCCACAAAAGGCTCGTCAGCTATTTCGAAATTCAGGCGCTGTCTGAAAGACCATTCTAGAGGTTAGCTGCTCTGATCGGTACTTTTTTCCGATCATAACCAGGTAAATGTCGGAGCAGGAAGCTCACCAAAAGGCCAGGTATCACGCGCGATCTTTCCTTCCTCTTCCTTGTCCTATCCTCACCACGTACACACACTTACATTAACATGCACTACGCTACCACAGATGCCGGGAGAGCGGTCGAGAGCTTATAGTTCGTCGTTGCTTAGGCGGTGCCTCGCTGGTGGGAGATATCTGGTAGGGAAACCCTGCTAACCAACGTGTAGGTCGGCGCCGTATCTTGCCATCAAGCGGGGAACATCACCACCTCTTCCCTTAATAAAAATGCACTACACTTACAGGATTAATGACATACTGCGCTCGGAAACACTAATCAAAGCAATCAATCTGAATGGGAAGAATTGTAATTTATTTTCTAAGACGGAAGATAATTGGTTTGAATGGAGACCTTCCCACGCGCAGCAGGCGTGCGCTGTTGCGACAAGCAGATCAGAACTCTCGCTACGCGAAGCGGAGGAGGGCGTACGCGCCACCGCTCGCACAGCTTTAAATGGCGGTCTTCCCACTGCGCCGCTGGTCACTGCGTTTTACCCGCTGTGGTCCCGTTGCTTGTCGTCGCCGGTGGGTCGGCCCCCCCCCCCCCGCAGACCCACCATTGCGGGCGGCGGTGCGGCCGT